CTTCGTCCGCTGCTCGTATTCGTGCGCGGGCAAATGTCTCGGGGCCAGCTCGAGCTGGTCGTCGTCATTCAGGCGATGGTGCAGCTCCTGGTCCGAGGCGACGCCGCCCACTGCGAAGTCCACCGCGGTCGCCATCGCCAACAGGTGCTGCCACACCGCGCCGTGCTTGGACCCCGCGTGGTATTCCTGCAGCCAGTGCCGCACTGACGTGGTGCCCGCGCTCCTGATGTTGCGATGGATCTCGCCCGCCGCCCGGTGGAACTCTGGGAGGGGGCTGTGGGCCCAGGCGTCAACATTGCTGCTGGCCGCCAGGCCACCATTTTTGTAGCCCCCCGCGAAGTCACCCGCCGAGGCCGACTCGAAACCCTTCAGCAGCGCGCGGAGGGCGTCGGGGTCGGGAGTTCCCGCAGTGCCAGCGCCGACGTACCCGCGGGCCTGCAGCGCAGCGAGGATGCAGGCGTCCAGTGCGCCCGACGCCTCGAGCTCCGCGACCTTCCTCCTGAAGCGCATGCCCCACCACGGGTCGGGCGGCAGCGCGTTGGCGAGGAGGTCCAACTCTGTTCTCAGCCTCTGAGCGCAGGCCGCCGTCGGGTTCAGCGCGGGGCGGGCGGGCCCTGCGCCCAGCTCGCAGGGGCCCCGCCTCCGCCCAACTGTGGGGGCGCGGCCGCGGGCCCGCTGGGGCTCATCTCCGCCGAGATGGGCTCTCCCACCTCCGCGCCGTGGGCGACGGCCGCCAAGCCCCCTTGCCGCCATCCCCCACGTGGGGCGGCCCCGCGGCAGCACTGGGCTAGCAGCTCCGAGTGCGAAGGGCGCAGCCGCGGGGGGCGGCAGGGGCGGGAGCCCAGCGGGCGGCGGCTCCTCGGGCGCCTCCGCGCCTGGGGCTGCGGGCTCGGCGGGCGAGGTCACCTCGAGCGCGGCGAGGCGGCGCCGCAGCTCGGCGAGCCCCTCGCTCTCGGCCGACAAGCCGCACCCGAAGCCGAACCCCGCCCGCCACCATGAGGCCAGCAGCGTCGCCACGACGACCAGCAGCCCCCAGAGCGCCTTCGTCACTGCTGCTCGGCCCGTGTCGGCCTTCAACGCTCCGCGCCACAACAGCGCTGCCAGCGCGAGGCCCTTGCCCAGCCAAGCCAGTGCCCACCAGAGGCTGGGGCCATCGTCGTTGGAGTCGTGTCCAGGAGGGGACATATATTCAGATATGGAGGTGGCCCCTGCCGCGGGTGGGCCAGCACCTGCTCAGTCTCAGAGCTGAGTCATGGGATTTTGACCCAGAAGAGACGATGGAAAGGGGAAACATGTGCGTGACGGCACTAACACATTATACCCATCCGAAGCTCATTCATTCATATGTGTGTGTGCTTGCATGTATGCATGCATGCATGCATATGTGCATGTATGTGTAAGTATGTATGTATAGTTGCATGTGTGTATGTACAGATGTATGTATATGCGCATGTTTGTTGTGTATTAGTATGGTTTGGCATGGCACGGTAAGGTATGCCATGGTGTGCTATGATATGTCATACTACAACATGACATGATGTGTTCCGCTATGGTATGCATGGGTGCATGCATGCATGTTTGCATACACATATATGTGTATACGTGTGTGTATGTTTGTATGCATACATGCATACACGCATGCATGCATGTTTGTATATATGAATGTATGCATGTATGTATGCATACATGCATGCATGTATGTATGCATACATCTATAGATGCGTGTGTTTGTATACATGTACTTATGCATGTATATATAGGTAGGTATGTATGTATGTATGTATACATTCATATATGTATGTAGATATGTAGGCATGTATGTGTGTATGTATGTATGTATGCATGCATGTATGTATGGATGTATGTATGCATGCATGTATGCAGTCATGCAGTCATGCATGCATGCATGTATGTATGTATGTATGTATGTACGTAGCACCCCGCAATTGCGGATAAGAGTGAGGGGGCGGGCGCGCGTTCGTGGGCGTCGTCAAGCCGGCGGACCTCGTGGCCCCCACCTTCCCTGTCGATGGCGCTCTCCTCCTCCTCCTCCTCCTCCTCCTCCTCCTCCTCCTCTTCGCCTCCTCCTCCTCCTCCTCCTCCTCTTCCTCGTCCTCGTCCTCGTCCTCGTCCTCATCGTCATCGTCGTCCTCCTCCTCCTCCACCTCGTCCTCCTCCTCCTCCTCCTCTTCTTCCTCGTCCTCCCTCTCTCCCCCTCGTCCTTCCATCATCGCCCTCCCATTGTCGTCATGTTCTTCCTCGTCGTCTCCTCCTCTCCCCCCCTTCCCGATCCTCCCCCCTCCTCCTTTTCGTCGTCGTCGTCGTCGTCGCCGTCGTCGTCGTCGTCGTCGACGTCGTCGTCGTCGTCGTCGTCGTCCCCCTTCCTCCTCCTCCTCCTCCTCCTCCTCCTCCTCCTCCTCCTCGTCCTCCTGCAAAAGCAGCCCGCCGCAGGCGCCGAAAAATTGGTTTGTGGTTTGGGTCGCGGGTGGGCCGCGGGTTCTCCACCTAGAACGAATGCAAAAGATGCCCGCCGCAGGCGCCGAAAAATGTGGTTTGTACCCTGAACGTGGTCGCGGGTGGGCCGCGGTCTCTCCACCTAGAACGAATGCAAAAGATGCCCGCCGCAGGCGCCGAAAAATGTGGTTTGTACCCTGAACGTGGTTTGGGTCGCGGGTTGGTCGCGAGTTGGTCGCGGGGTGGGTCGCGGGCTCTCCACCTGGAAGGAATGCAAAAAAAGCCCGCCGCAGGCGCCGAAAATGTTGGTTTGTACCTTGAACGTGGTTTGGGTCGAAGGTGGGTCGCGGGTGGGTCGCGGGGTGGGTCGCGGGTGGGTCGCGGGTGGGTCGCGGGTGGGCCGCGGGCGGGTCGCGGGGTGGGTCGCGGGTGGGTCGCGGGGTGGGTCGCGGGGTGGGTCGCGCGTGGGGTGGGTCGCGGGGTGGGTCGCGGGTGGGTCGCGGGTGGGTCGCGGTGTGGGTCGCGGGGTGGGTCGCGGGGTGGGTCGCGGGGTGGGTCGCGGGTGGGTCGCGGGTGGGTCGCGGGTGGGTCGCGGGTGGGTTGTGGGGTGGGTCGCGGGTGGGTCGCGGGGCGGGTTGCGGGTGGGACGACGACAACAAACAACAACAACAAACAACAACAACAACAACAACAACAACACGAATCCGCACCGCGGAATCCCACTTCAGCCACGCACCCAGGGACAGTGAATGACCGTTCGGCCCCCTCACTCTGATGTATGTATGTATGTATGTATGCATGCATGCATGTATGTATGTATGTATGGATGTATGTATGATGTGTGTGCATGTATATATGCATGTATGCCTGCATGCATATATGTCGACATCTATATATATATAGATATATGTATGGATGTATGTATGCATGCATGTATGTATGCATGTATGTATGCATGTACGTATGCATACACGTGTGTATGTATGCATGCATGTGTATATAGTCTCGGGAAATTCCCTCTCTCTCTCTCTTTCTATCTGCAAGGCGCTCGAACACCGGAGTGCGTGCTCGACCAGCGCCAGCACCGCCGAGAGCGACGAGGCACGACCCAAGGCAACCGCTGCCTGGGCACGCCGCCCGCCCGACCTCGGGGCAGCGCCAGCCCTGGGCCAGGATGATGAGGAGGATGAGGAGGAAGATGGGGAGGGGGAGGGGGAGGAAGGGGGAGGGAGGGAGGAGGAGGGAGGAGGAGGAGGAGGAGGAGGGGAGGAGGAGGAAGGATGAGAAGAGGGAGGGGAGAGGGAGCGGGAGGAGAGGAGGAGGGGGAGGGGGAGGAGGGGGGGGGAGGGGAGGGGGAAGGAGGAGGAGGAGGAGGAGGAGGATGAGGAGGGGAGGAGGAGGATGAGGGAGGAGGGGTAAGGGGGAGGGAGAAGTGAGGAGGGGTTAGGGGTAGGAGGAGGGGCAATAGGAGGGAAAGGAGGAGGATGAGGAGGAGGAGGAGGAGAAGTTGGAGGAGGAGGGGGAAGTCGATCCGAAACCCAGGTCGGCCGAGGGGCGGAGAGGCGGGTCGTCTCCACGTGGCCGCCCCGGCCAGCCAGAAGGTTTGGACGCCCGGAACGGGTACGGAAAAACGGGTACGACTCCCAGCAACAAAGGTTGGCCAACATCGACGGCGGTCGCTGTTGGGCAGGCGGCCTTCTGACTCGGACGGGCAACGCCCGCGGCGACGCCGACAGCGAATCCTGTTCAAAATGCACAGGCAACGCTGTCGGCCTTCGTGCTCATTCTATCCGTGCTCATTTCGCTCGCACCGAAAGGGAATAGACTGGCGGGCCCCGGTCGGCGCTGACCCCTGTGCAGAAGAAGAAAAACTTGCATAAACAGAAACTCTTGGCGCTCCGCGCGGATTTCGTGGACCTATGCTGGACACCCCTCCCTGGCGCGCGCAGCGCGCCAAGGGCGGCGCCGGAGGCGCCGCCGCCGGGGGGCTCCACCAAGCGCGGAGCGTCGAAAGTTTTAAGCTCATGTACCGTATTGATATTCGCTGACCCCTCCTCTCCCGCCTCCCCCTCCTCCTCCTCCCCCTCCTCCTCCTCCTCCTCCTCCTCCTCCTCCTCCTCCTCCTCCTCCTCCTCCTCCCCCTCCTCCGCCTCCCCCTGCTCCTCCCCCGCCCCCTCCCCCTCCTCCTCCTCCCCCTCCCCCTCCTCCTCCTCCTCCTCCTCCTCCTCCTCCTCCTCCTCCTCCTCCTCCTCCTCCTCCTCCTCCTCCTCCTCCTCCCCCTCCTCCTCCTCCCCCTGCTCCTCCCCCCTCCCCCTCCCCCTCTTTCCTCCTCCTCCTCACCTCCTCCTCCTCCTCCTCCTCTCCTCCTCCTCCTCCTCCTCCTCCTCCTCCTCCCCTCCTCCTCCCCCTGCTCCTCCGCCTCCCTCTCCCCCTCTTCTCCTCCTCCTCCTCCTCCTCCTCCCTCGTCCTCTCCCCTCCTCCTCCTTCTCCTCCTCTTCTCCTCCTCCTCCTCCTCCTGTGCGAGCGCCCCCCCCGCCGACCGCCGCGCCGCTCCCCCTGCCGGTCTCCTCCTGGGGGACTCCGGGCGCCTGGGCGTTGGTCAGGGCGCGGAAGCTGCCTGAGGGCGGGGGTCTGCCCCCCCCGCCGTTCCCTCCTCCCTCCTCCCCCTTCCCTGCCTCCTCCTCTCCTTCCTGCCCTCCCTCTCTTCTCCTCTCTTCCTCCTCCTCCTCCTCCTCCTCCTCCTCCTCCTCCTCCTCCTCCTCCTCCTCCTCCTCCTCCTCCTCCTCCTCCTCCTCCTGCCTCCTCCTATTCTTGGCGCGCTTGAGTCAAGATGGTCACGGAAGAGGGGGAGTAACGAGCAGGTGCACAGGCCTCCTGGGCGGTGGTGGGACTGTCCCAAGAGAGCCCAAGAGAGGCCAAAGATCGTCCTGAAGTAGAAGTCAAAACATCCCCCCCATAATAACCACCCCGACACGCGAAATCGTGTAGTACACGCGCCCAAGGAAGGAATCTAACAAGGCAAGGTTGTTTAATACACGCCCAGGGCCGTTTGGTAAACGCCCTTTGTCCGGTCCGGGTGGTTTTCCCTCCCGTGATGAGAGCCCGCAGAAGTCCTCAAAACGGTCCAAGTAGGCTTAGGTCGGGCGTGTCCTGGGGTATGAACTTTCCAGCCGCCCAGAGACAGGCGTCCCTGGCAAAGAGCAAGCTTCCGACTGGATCCGCGTGTCCCTCCGCTCCGCTGGACCTCCCCAGGAGCCCACGAAAGTGGCGACACTTGCGCAGCTGGCAGATCCCCGGGGAGCCGCCAGGTCTCGACTGGATCTGCGCGTCTCCCAACCCCGATGGGCATCCCAGGAGCCCGCGAAAGTGGCGACAACTAGTCAGTTCGCAGCCCTCCAGGGAACGGCAAAGTCTCGACTGGATATGCATGCCCCCCTGCCTCTCTATTGGGCATCCCAGGACCCCAAGAAAGTGGCGACTGTTGCGCAGATGGCAGATGGCAGCACCCCCAGGAAGCCGCGAGGTCTCGACTGGACATGCGTGTCCCCGCGCTCCGCTGGGCATCCCAGGAGCCCACGAAGGTGGCGACATTTGCGCAGTTCACAAACCCCCAGGGAGCCGCTAGGTCTCGATCGTATCTGCGTGTCACCGCAAGATCCCACGCACGTTGCGACAGTCTCGCAGATGGCAGCCCCCTAGGGAGCCACGAGGACTCGGCTGGATATGCGCGTCGCCCCACTCCGCTGGCCTCCCAGGAACCCGCGACAGCGGCAGCAGGTGCGCAGCTGGCGCAGCCCCTCATGGAGCCACGAGGCTTTGACGGCATCTGCATATCCCCCCGCTCCGCTGGGTCTCCCAAGAGCCAATGGAACTGACGACTGTTGCGCAGCTAACTGCCAGCCCCCCCCCCGAGGAGCCGCAAGGTCTCGCCTGGATCCGCGCGCCCCCCCATTCCGCTGGGCCTCCCAGACGCCTACGAGACTGGCGACGCAAGTCGCACCCACCCCAGGGCGCTGCGAGTTCTCGACTGGACCTGCTTATCAAGGCCAGGGAGGGAGGGAGGGAGGGAGGGAGAGAGGGAAGGAGTTCTCGACTGGAGCTGCTTATCCCCCTCCCTCCGCTGGACCTCCCAGGAGCTCACGACCCGGGCGACGGTGGCGCACCGGGCATCCGCCCTAAGGAGCCGCGAGGCATGCAGCAGGCAGACGGCAAGAAGCGCGCAGGAAGGAGGCACGAGGCACGAGGCAGAGGAGGGAGGGATGCGGGAGGAAAAGACGCGCGAGCACTGCTCTATTCAGAACGAGAACCCAGAGCAGGAGGGTTGGGTGAAATTGACAATGGTGATGTTGACGATGCTGGCTCAAGAGCGCCCTAGAAACGTCCCAAGAGAAGATGGTGATGGCCCCAGAAGGGGGACAATCATTGGGCTCGACCAATGGCCTCCAAGATGGCCCCAAGAGGCCCACCAGGGCTCGCAAGGGACCCCCGAGAGGGCGCCAAGAGGGCTTCAAGAGGGCCAAGAGATCCGCCAAAAGAGCCCCAAGACGACTCCAAGATCAACAAGAAGAGTCCCACGAGGGCTCCACGAGGCGATTTTGAGGGCTCTGTCCTCGTCCTCTCGTTGTCCTCGTCCTCGTCCTCGTCCTCGTCCTTGCCCTCATCATCTCCCTTTTCCTTTTGCTCCTCTTCCTCGTCGTCGTGGACGTTGTCGTCATCGTCTTCCTCCTCCCCTATCCAAAGCCATCCCCTTGCTCCCAAAGATCTCTCTGCTCACCCTGGTTGCCCGCTTTGTTTCACTACATGTGTCTCGTCGTGCCTTTTCCGGTCAACCCTCAGGGGAAGATTTTTGAGTAGCTGGTGGGGATACGCGGCATGTAAAGAATTGCCATCGTATATGGTACAACATATACTGCTAGAAACATGTTGTTTGGGGTCCACGCTGGCTAATCCATATACGTAGGTAGCCTGTACACGTTATATATGTACATCTAAATCTACAGGCACACATGCATATGTATCTATTTGTGCATATGCATCAATACTTGCATACATGCATGCATGCATACACACATAAATATAAGCAGTCAGACAAGACACCACATCCACACACGCATACATACATACAGAAAGAGAGAGAGAGAGAGAGTGAGCGAGAGAGAGCCAGAGATAGAGGAGGACATAGCGACATACCGACTCACATACATACACACATACGTACATAGTTGCACACATAATGCATTCATATATACATGCATATATGCATGATTCCACACGCATATACATACATGCATGCACGCACATACACTCATTCTTACACATGCACACACATGCATACATGCATGCACACATGCACCCATACATACATACATGCATACGTACGTACAGACGTGTATACCTACACATGCATGCACACAAACATACACACATACTTAAACACATACACATGTACATACATACACATGCAGCCATACATACATACATACATACATACATACATACATGCATACACACATACACGTAAGCACACATACGTACACGCATACGTACACACATACGTACATATGTAATATGTACACGCATCCATACGCATACACGCATGCAAACATCATACATTCACACACATGCTTACATACAATCACACACACAAACCGACCGACCGGCAGACAAACACAAGCACACGTACATGCATGCATGCATACATGCATGCATGCATGCATGCATGTATGCATACACACATACATACGTATCTACACATACACGCATATACACATACATCCATGCACACACATACATACATAAAGACATGCACACCATCCAAACACACCAACATACATACATACATACATACATGCATACATACGCGCACACATAAACATATATACTTACTTGCACACGTGTGCACCCATCTACCTACCTACCTACCTACCTACCTACCTACATGCATACATACATATATACGTAGATGCACACATGCAAGCACGCAGGCATCCATCCATACATACGCATAGTTACATCTGCCACATACGTGCCGTAGGTGCATCTATATACATATAGGTATGTCTATATGCGCGTATATGTTCGAGCGCGTGCGCGCAACCTTTCTTCGATGCTAACATGCGCGGTGGCCACGCCTGGCCGTTTGCCGCTCCCTGGCTCCTCCCCGAGGCCACGGCGGCCACCCGCTGCCAACGCTGCCCGCCCCCGCCGGGGCCTCCGTCGGCGCCCGCCGCCTGCTGCCGCTGGCCGCTCAGGTACTTGTAGCGCGTCTGGGCGTCGTAGTCCTCGGGGGCGGCGCCCCGCCTCCTCCTCCTGCTTCCTCCTCCTCCTGCCTCCTGCTTCCTCCTCCTCCTCCTCCTGCCTCCTCCTCCTCCTGCTTCCTCCTCCTCCTCCTGCCTCGTGCCTCCTGTCTCCTGCCTCCTGCCTCCTGCCTCCTGTCTCCTGCCTCACCCTCCTCCTCCTCCTCCTCCTCCTCCTCCTCCTCCTCCTCCTCCTCCTCCTCCTCCATCTCCTCCCCGTCCTCGGCGCCGTCGGCATTCGGGTCTTTCGCGGATGTTGCTCATCCTCCCTTTTGCCTTTTCCTCCTCCTGTTCCTGCCTCCTCCGGCCTTTTTGCCGTTGGGCACGCATGAGGCCGGGCTTGTTGTGTTATGGAATGATGCAACAACCGCCGGTTTAGGCGGAGTGAAAACAACACATTACGCCTGGCTGACGCAGCTGGAAAGGTCAGGCAATGAGAACAGGCTAAGGATGTGGGCCCTCGGGGACGCAGAGTGTGCGCCAGGCAGAATGTGTGGAAGCAGGCACGACCGATCGATATGTATGGTAACCCGAACGAGGGGAGGCACTGAACGAGGGAGTACCTGCCTCCTCCTCCTCCTCCTCTCTTCTCCTCCGCCTGAGGAGGGGGAGGAGAAGGAGGAGGAGGAGGGCGATGGGGGGGACAAACGTGGGCGAAGAGGAGGAGGAGGAGGAGGGAAGCCCATTTGGCCTCTGGCGATCTGGGCCTGCGACCGATCGCTCGGTCAGGGTCGATCGGCGCCAGCCGCCCGATCGATCCCGCCTCGCAGGCCGATCGCGAGGCCGGGCTCCGCGCGCCGCGGATCGGCGATTCGCCGCCCGCTGCCGCGCCCTGGCCCCCCGCCTGGCGGCTGCCGCGCGCCTCGGCGCGCCCAGGAGAGGCCCGACGCCCGAGCCCGCCTGGCACAGGCGGCAGAGGGAGCGCCGGGCGTCGGCGCGGGCCCTCCTGCGCGTCTTGAGGGCTGCCGACACCCTGGCCAGCCACCACTCGGCGCAGAAGCACCAGCGCGACCAGCAGTACGAGCTGCAGGACTTCGAGACCAGCAAGATGGCGACCAATACGAAGTCTCACGGCCATCCAGTGGGGGCCAAGCCGTGGCCATGGAGGTCAAGTACGCCAGCATCTGGATCCTCTCATCGCCGACACAATGGAGGGCATGGACAGCAGCAGCCACGGTACCAGCACCAGCACAACCAGCACCACCACAACTCCCAACACGACGAGGATCGACAGCAGCACAACGACGCCCATCATCAACAGAAGTATCAGTACGACTCCACGACATCGAGAACGAAGCGGACTCCATCAAGGAGACGCTACCAGGCCCCCGAAGACGCCACCAACGATCACCGACATCTGCCAAAGCTTACGAAACGACAGCTGGAGGTCACTGACAAAATAATGCCCGCCCTGCTTTCGGAGGCCAAGGGACACGAGAGCTTTTCTCTTCCCCCCGACGAGCCAGACATACGTCGGGTATGGCACGCCACCAAGGTGGCGAGGATGGCACGTCTCGCTGACCAAGTACACGGAGCCAGGCAAGCACAAGTCGACCCAACCCGCCTCATCGAGGAGCTAGCCATAGTCAAGACCATGATCCACCTGCTGGACACACCGACGGCTCGCATCGCACAATACAGATCCCAAGTGGAGTCACGAATCCAGAGACAGCAGACCGTCGAGAGCCAGCTCAACGACCTCAATAAGGAGCACGACGAAATCAAAGGCGAGATCGCATCCCTCAAGGCACTCATCTCCGAGGCCAAGAAGTATCGAGAACACGCTGAACTTTACGAAGACAGCTGTGACGGAGACGGTGAAGACGACGGGCGCCATCGAGTCAGAGGCAAGACACCACACCCCGAGAGACGACAACGACCACCATCTCGTCAACCCGCGTCTGAGCCAGTGCCTGCTCCGACCACCAACGACGGCAGCGACCTACGGAACCTCATCGACGTGCTGACGAGGAGAGTGGACGAGCAGCAGCGCAACCACGGTATACACCAACACCATCTGGCGTTTCTCCATCATGAACGAGCTGAATCCGAACAACACGAAGCACAGCGTCAACGGCAGACCGAGCAGATTCAGGAGCTTTCGCAACACCTACAGCACTGCCAGGAACAACTTCAGCAGGCACAAATCCAGCAGAGACAGTCGTACTACGACGAGATCCAAGCCTTCCGACAACGCGAGGAGCGGCTCCGACACGAGGCTCAAGAATCCATCACGGAGAACATGGCTCACTACCAGCAGAAGGAGGCCCACCTGCGAGACCAGCTCAGGGAGGAGGAGTCAGCTCACCTCGCCACTTTCATCATCCAGAGGAGGCAAGAGGAAGAGACTTTCCGACACCAGCTACAGGAGAATGCTGAGATCATGGTCAAACAATATCAACAACGATGCCACGAACAACAGCAGCGTCTTCTCTCTGAGAAAGCTCAGGCCCAGCAGGACATCAGCAACATCGCGAGGCTTGAACAGAACCAGATACAGGATGCTAAGGAGCTACTTTTGGAGGAATTCGGACAAGTACAGGCTCAGAAGTACCGCACCATGATGGCCCAGAGCGAGTACAACAGCGAGATCGACAAGCTTCGAGGCTCTTCCAGCGACATGCAACGCTTCGAGAACGAACTCCAGGAGCAGCACCAACTCCAACTACAGGAGCACCTTCAGCAACATAGACAGGAGCGCGAGCGACTGCATTGCGAACTACGGCAAGCCCACGAGTTCGGCACCAGCATCGACGTGGACATCCTCAGGGAGCTCGACACACAACTCCAAGAACGAGACGAGGAAGACGCACGACTGCAAGCCCAAGCAGATGCTGAACAAGCACAGATCGACAAACAGGTTCAAGCGGCACTCCACCTGCTGACCCCACCGTCTTCCTCTGATGACTCGGGCTATCAACTATACCTCAGAAACCGCGGCAGCAGCAGCGGAGGACAGCCCAGCAACAGCGGACAGCGCAGCAGCACACCACCACCACGTTGTGAAGGAATGCCCCGCCAGATTTCGATTCCCGCGCTTCCGCCTCGACCGACACCTGCGATGCCAACCGCCACTCCCACTGCGAGACGCCCATGCCACGACGCCGACGACGCCAGCGTGCACACCCCAATCCCAGCCGACGACGACGACCTTTGCAGCCCAACCCCTGTTGCGAGTGACGCATATCCCTTCCCTGTCCCCACGCCTTTACCCACCCCCGCCTCGCTTACGCCGATCCCCACCGAGCAGCATACGCCCATCGGCTTCCACCCACCCGACCCGCAAAATGACCGACCCAGCTCAGCGCCACCACCACGCACCAGAAGGACAGACTCAACCAAGCACAACCACCCATCCACTACTCTTCTCATTGACATCACTTCCGATGACGACGCACCACCACCCTCCACCCCAGTGCGCATTCCACTGGCCGACATATCCCCTACCGCACCGATGCAGCCAATCCAACCACCACCCCGCTTCCACCTCGCCACGCCCGACCGCGCCACCTCTGCCCCCCCGCCCCGCACCGCCCTCCGAAAAAACGGATCATCTAAACGAGCGACCATGCCCAAGAAAGTCCGTATCTGCGACATCGGAGACGGCTTCGCAGACCCAGGAGACCGAGTGCCAACCTTCCTCAACGACGAGGAAGTCCCCGCGGTCAACTCACCAAAAAACTAAAGAGGCCCTCACCCCCTGGGGGGCAACTGGCCCAGGGGGAGCGGCCCAGCATCACACCAGAAGAATGCCAGCGCAACGACGGCACTTCCGACTCCTGCAGTGGTTACGCCGACGACGTCAAGCGCCGACTATTTGAGCCCCTGGTGAGCTACGATTCACCATACGACACTTCACAAGTTTCACCTACCCTCTCATCAGCCAATAGAGGCATGCGCGATGGGGAGAGCGCACCTCCAGACCTGTACGAGCACGGCGACATGTGGGAAATCCACACACCGCCCAACATACCACAGCCTAGTAGTGGACCGTGGACCATCCCCTCGGCCTCTACCTCTCGCTTGGGGAGCGCGAGAAGGCTGTCTCACACAGACCCCACACTAGAACCACATACGATAGCGGAACGACCAACTACTGCCACCCAACCTCGACGGCAGCATGTCGACTCACATCCTCCACCAGCGGAAGCCCAGTCACGGTCGATCCCGACGATGACGACGCCACCGCCTACACCTCGAGAGGATGCATCGCTTTGCGAGTACGACACAGGAGGGGGGCAAGAACGACTAGAGACACCAACAAGGCATCGACGCACTAGCCATTTTGGCCAAGATGGCGATCGAGACCGACAATTTTGTGACTCACCGAGCCGGCCATGTACATCAATTCCCTGCCGGCCACAACCTCCCAATTTTGACTCCCGTGAAGTTACCCAGATTCCACGCGGACAGACCGACCTGCCGAATGCGGAGAGCCACGAGGCAGTACGGCATGTTCGATTCTCGCGCGAGGTCCACACCCGCGACCAGCAGACCGACAATATCCTCTACCACATCGACTTCGACGAGCAGGAGCCCTTACTCCAGCACCTTCGACGACTTCAGGCTCCCAGGCTGACCTTCAAATTTACCGACCGATGCCACAACGAGGTTTCAGATTACATGATGCGAACATTCCCATACCGACAGCTCCTACGAGATTCTCGCCTGCACTTATATACCGACGGCTCCAAACACCCACGCCAACATGGTCAAGACGGATGGTCAGTTGTACTCGTCGGTGAAGACGAAGAAGGCTTCTCTTTTCAAGGCGCAATAGTCGGCAAGCACCGCGACTCCACCCTCGTGGAGATCCAAAACCTCACGGACAACGAGACCACCTCGACATCCAGCGAGATCACAGCGCTCATCTGGGCGCTCGCCTACATCATCCACAAGGACATCAATCACAGGATATCGGTCCACTCCGACTCGCTGGGAGTGATCCAACTGGCCAGGATGGAGGCTTTTACCAACCGAGACGC